ACAAGACGAAATGAGTAGTATTGCACTTAACTATCAGCACTTTGCAAATATAACCAACATTATTCAATAAAACACACCATAGTCGCATTACAACTTATGAAAGTTATTTTATATAATTCTTTATTTATTTTAATAAATATCGTAATTTATTATTGTTTATATAAGTTAGCAATTGAAACTTCTTTAATGTCCCAAAAAAATATTAAGTCTACAAAGATATACTTCAGTAGGTTTATATAGGAATAAACCACGTAACAACTTTTTAATATCATTCTATTGATCGAAAATTATGAATTTTTGAAAAATTCTTAACACCGACAAGTCAGACGCTCGCTTCACTAAGACAAAAGAGGAGTATTGCACTTAACTCACACTACATAATATATACTACCTTTCTTATCAATAAACATTGCCAAAGTCGCGTAAATTCATAAAAATTAGTCCAATTTAAATCTTATTTTTTTGACAAGCAATAAGTTTGTCATTATTTACGTATAATTCATACAAGCCAGTCTACGTAAAGCAAATTTGCGCGACATTGCACTTGACGTATGGAACATAACATGTATGAGCTTTGTTAAACGTAAACTTAAAAATATCAGATCAACTTATTTTCATATTTTTTTAAGTAAATAAGCTTGTCAATATTTATGTACCGTTTATACAATTTAGGCACACGTAAGGAAAAATGCAGAGTTTTACATCTAACAGTACATATTGTAATCTTGACTATACATAAACCATTGCCAAAGTCGAATAAATGTATAATAATCGGTTCAGTTTCAATACTTTTTTTGTATTACTAAGTAATAAGCTCGTCATTATCTATTTATAAAGTTGGCGTGCTACAGTCAAGTATATACAATCTTTTTATAGCTTACTCCTCATTCCCTTCGTAGTAGAGGGTCGTAGAGTAAACTCGAGAAGTAGAAGTCAACCCTTTTCAGTAGTCTAGTTGGATTTTTTTATTTATTACTTATTAACATTATCAACTATTATTACTTATAGTTATCATCAACAAAATTATTATTAGAGGATAAAGTTTTATTATAATAAGCAATATGTTAGCTAATTGGACAGGACCAACAGGTGTATAAGTCTTCTATTTATAATATACCAAAGGTTATTATCGTAGATAGTAATTTAAGAAGCATTTTTCTGCGTTGTTTTTAATCACTTCCGTAATATATTCGACTTGAAGGTTTCAGGGCAGAATGCAAGTTTCTTTTAAATCACGGGGCGTTAGTAAACAATCGAAGAAAAATATTTTGTAGGTTTATTAGCCTATTAAGTGTTTAATAGAGGAGTAGGTGGGAGAAAGTGGCATATGTGAGTATGGGTCCTAACATGCTTTTATCTAGAAGTAGCCTATTACCAAGATTTAACTTGTTCTTTTTGCATGGTGGAGCGTATAGTCCTAAATTTGTTAGTTAAGTGGCTTCTAAACTTGTGGAACTGCTCCAAGATACTTAGCCTGTGAGCGCCAGAGGAGATCATTACCAAATAATTGCAAGTTGCTCACAGAGCAGTGTTTAATTCTACGCGAGATGGGTAAGGCCTTGCATTTTAACGGATCAAGTTTACAATTATTAGATGTGAACCAGCATCCAAAGAAATATAGGTATAAATGCGTATTTTAAATAGCCAACGAAACTGATTTAAAACTTGTATAAACTGCAGTGTTATCAGCATACTACTCAAATAAAAACAGTGTTGATTGTGGAATATCAGAAGAGAAGACAGAAAACAGCAGAGGTTGACCCTAAAATTTCCATCGTATAAAGGACTCAGGCACAATGAAATCTTACAGTTGCCATTTTCATAATTAATTCTCTGTGCCGCAAGTTATCAAAGGCTCCCTCAACATTTAAAAGTACAAGAATTGTAGATTGTTTTATAATTTAAGGCTTTGGTAAAGTGCTCAGAAAGTCTTGAAGTCTTTTGAGTGGTGGAATGACCTTTAAAATGAATGATATCTAAGCGCCTGGCCTCAGTTTTGGTGAAAAGTGTACTTGTCGCTCCAGGAATCTTCTTCCAATGTGGTTTGCGCTAGCGATCATGGAGCTGCTATCCTACGCAAATGTAGGGGAAGGAGGGTAAAACGGAACGTTAGGGCAATTAACAGAAGAGAAAGCGAAGTGGGCGTACAGGAGTTCTGCAAACAAATTAGCTTCGTCTAACGGAAAGTAAACGGCCTGAACTCCCCAGTGTACTATTTATGGTTCCAGGGTGGGTCTATCTTTGTGCTTCTTTGCTTATCCATCAAGTTTTGAAAAAACTTTGTCTTGTCTTCCCATGTTTCCTTTAAAAATTTGCAGATCTCATTTAACTCTATAATTCTCTTGGTTTGGAACACATTTATCGTTCAGGGATTTAGTAAGTGCGTACTTTCGTTTCATACGCCTCCTTTTGATAATTGCTCCTTTCAATTTTTACGGAAGCATAAGAGGGAAAACAAAAAAGTTTTCATATTCCGTCGCTTGGTTGTGTGACTCAAGGATTACGGACTCTAAGGGCGTTACTGCATTATGAAGACAGAAAAAACGGAGGAGCACTAAAAAAGGTCTTCCTCCTGCTTTAATAACTAGACCAATTTGTAATTTTCTTCTCCATTTTTAGTAAATTATAGGAAGGTTGCGAAGTTCCAAAAACGCTGTTAAAGATATTGGAGCACGAATGTTCTTCGTCAGGGCAATATCAAGCACATCGGTTGTGTAATTTGTGGCATATTGAGCCGAAATACTTTTTCTTCTGCAATTTTTTCTGGAAGGACTCCATTAAGTTTGTGCAAGTACTTTTTCGGGTTAAAGATTAGGGTTAGGTTTAGGTTAGGTTTGTATGCAAAATGAGGCCTCCGCCCATAATTACTGAGGTCGAGTCAGAGAATATTTCATCGACATCCCTCCCTTCTAATCTTTTGGCAGGAGGCTTATAAGCTGAGGAATTGTTAGATGTGTCATGGTTATTAAGTTTCAATTTAACTCCTACAGCTTGAAGGCAATATAGTTTTGGGTATCCGAGAGGAAAGTGCAGAATGTGTTTTAATATATATGAAGGCACTCCACCATGTTTAGATGGGCCCATCTTTTTTTTATAATGAATTATTTCCGAGCATATATTGGTTACCATGATTAAAAAGCAAATCTGAGACTAAATTTATGACCTTGTCTGATCTCACGGCCAATGTTCTTGGAGTTCGGGCATCCTAGTGCGGAAAACCATCAGCATTCCAGGCTAAAATCCTAAAAAGTTGTGTACATTGGGTGTACACTGTGTAAAGTCATTAGTTAAAGTTTAAATTTTTTACAGTTCAAAATTAAGTTTTGTAATTTGGGCACTTAATTCTGTGATTAGTAAGGAAACAAAGTTACTCATCATTTTAGTGACGGAGTTGGAGTCTATTAAAAATATGCCATGCGCCCCTGTTCCCCTTTATGTATTCCAGGACCAGCGAATTTGGAATAGGAATTATATAGTTGGATATTGCTTTCATCCCTTTTCTTCTTTACGAAGTAGTGCATTTTCAGGGTAGAATAGACCGCCCTTGTACTTAGCGGTGTGTTCCCCTTGACACTTTGCAAAGTACAGTTTAACAGAATTGTTCCGCTAACTTTAAAGCCGTGATTGTCACCACTATACACATGATGTGCAGTGCTTAAAACTGTGCCCATACAGTTGTAGCCAAAAAGTTGGCCAATCGACCACTATTTTTAGAGGGTTCTGCTAAAACTATAAAGTATTCGTTGATTTTTAGATTATAATTGATAGCCTCGGTTTCAGGCCGTTTAATAGCTGAAAGTAAAAAAATTTAGTTTTTGTATTTTCGCATGCGATTATCTCTTCAAGATAAAAACATGAAGACTTCAACTCAACCTTGATTATATAAGGGCTCATTTTTAGTGTAAACACCCCAAAACACAAATTAAATTCTTTAGTCTCAGGGGGTTAGTGCAGTAGTCATTTAATCTCAGTCCAAGACAGCGGTGAACCTGTGAGAGTGGATATTATAGTATACGTATGCCATGTCTAACATCTTTTAGTTAAGTTAATAATATCATCTTATTTTCTTTATTTTATATTGCGGTAGAAATCCTTTCTTTAATAATAATCATGTTGTTATTGTTAAATTTATAATTATTATTACCCCTGGTAGCACTATTATTGTTAGTATTATTTTTAATATTATTATTAAAAATGTTTATACTGTTATTATTAACTTTAAAATTAATATTATGGTTACTGTATTATATTTGCTAATATTACTGCCGTCAGAGATTAAATTCTTTTATTGTTAGTGCTTTTCTGTCTCTATTTATACTGTTAACATTTATCCGTCGTCTTTAAAGTAATTTATACGAGTTTTCGGGGGCAAGTACGAAAGCAATGAAAGTATTGGTGGTGATGGTGGGGTAGGGGTAAAAGTCCATCTCCCAAAAGTATCAAAAATAGCTTAAAGTTTTTCATGAGCGTTCATTATTTAATAAGCTTTTCTAGTTTTGTTTGTGAATTTTAAGGTTATTCTCCATAATTCCTTCACTGAGGTAATCAGAAATTCCATAAACTTGATCGTTGGTACTAATACAAATAATAAAACCATGTATGGCTCGTATAGCCGCTTTAGAAAAGGGATACAAGTTTATCATGAATCTGGCAACCATTACCTCCCCCACCCCCAAAGATGCAAACATGATTCCACACCAAACTGAATGAAAGTCTGACAAATATTAAAATTCAAACCCAAATATCTTAGCTCCACTCACAGGGAAATATTACGAAACGAGTCAGAGAAAGGGCTAAATAATGGAGTCAAACAAAGGACCAACATTTAATCACGTTTTTGCTTCGAGAAAATCACGTGACTAATTAACTACGTGAAGTGTCCTAGTTATCAGTTACATAAACATATATTATCCTATCATATATATAATAATAAATGTCTTTGGATCGGGAGCAAGTTGCACAGGCAGTAGAGGCTTTATACAATCATGTTAAAAATAAGAAATCAGTGGAGTTATTTAGCAATCATCACACTATTAGTTTAATAATTGGTTTTAAAATGATACCAGCTGTTAGAAAAGTAGTGAGAATGTATTGAGTTATAAAATGTAGATATATATAACTTTTTTTATTTATTAATTTTTTATTATAGAAAAATTCCTCATTCTCTTCATGATGATGAAAGTGAAGTTTGTGTTATAACTAAAGACCCACAAGCTGATTACAAAAAACTTTTTAAATCCAAGAACATAAAAGTCATTAAGAAGGTTGGCATTTTTTTTTCTAGTTTATGTTTGGCTTATTATTGTTATAATAATATTAATAGACCTTTATAAGGTCATGAGTGTTTCTAAACTTCAGAAAAAATACAAACCATATGAAGCTAAAAGAAATCTTTGCAAGTCATACGATCTTTTTTTGGCAGACAAACGGATTTATTACAAACTTTCAACCCTTCTTGGAAAATATTTTTATATAAGAAAAAAGTTTTTTTTTCACTTTTTAAGCGTACTTTTAACCGTCACAGCGTAGAATATTTTTCTTTTTGTAGGCAGCCGATTCCGATTATAATTAATCCTAAAAACTTGGAAAAAATAATTAAAAGAGCCACGCATTCTACTTATATGCATTTGGGTACTGGAGTGTGCAGGTTAAGAAAATTTATATTTTTCAAAAAAGATTGTAACCTTTCGTGTTTACTTAGAATATATGAATGTATTTAATACTTTTTTTATTATTATTTAACATTTTTTATTCTTCTATATTTATTTTTTCACCGAACTTAACTTTTATATATATAAAATAATATATAGAATGAAAAATATTTATAATTATTTTTACGTAATGTAAAAAAATAGAGATAACTTTAACTAACTTTTTATTGTGTAGTGCTGTGAAAATTGGTCACACTGGTTTAACATCTACGCAAGTTACAGAAAATATTATAACAGGCATATCTATTATACTCACTTTTATAAAATTTAAATAATTGGGATTTACTAATTACTAACGGATTTAGGGATCGAAGAAATTTATAAAAAGATTAATGTTTGGAATTCTATACAAGCTATTAATCTTAAAACTGTGGACTCTGTTGCTCTTCCTTTATACAATTCTTCAAAATTTTAATAAACTTTTAATTTTAAAGTTAGTCATTATTTATATTTACAACTATAAGTAAATTTAGAAATCTTGAATGATTTTTTTGTTTTTCTTTACTATTTTGTTGCATTTTTTAAATTCAAAAAATTCTTTAATATTTTTTATAATTCTACAAATTTTTAGTAAATTAATAATTTTAAAATTATTTATTATTATTATAACTATAAGAATTTTAAAAAAATTTTGATTGATTAAAATAATTTTATGGTTTTTTTACATTAGGGCGCCTTTTTTTTTGGAAACCCTAAAACTTTTTTATTTTATATATATGTTAAAAAAAAACTGATGCTTTTCTACAAATGTCGCTCCAATATAATTTAAATAAATTACCTTATTTCTAATAAAATAAATACTTTAGTAAAAATTGGTTACGTGCTTTATTAAAATAATTAAGATTTATTATTCGGAACTTGAGCTGGACTCATCGGTAGAAGGCCGGCGTGACTTTTTTTTAGACTAAAAAAAAAAAAGAATTTACGTTTAATCTAAAAAAAAATTTAAAAGTAAATTTACTTTTCTTTTTTCTCGTTTCCGACTTTTGCCATCGACATGATGTTCTGTTTAAGGAAAAAAAGAGCCAATCATCAATTAAAACGCAAAAAAGAAAAAAAGAAAACTTTTATGGCGGCGTTTCCGCTTATGGCGACTGGAATGGCGGGCACGGCGGCTATCCGGCCTCTTTTCGCTTTCGCTTGCTTCATCGCTGCTGCTGGCGTGCTCTTGAAGATATTCCTCAAACGCCTAATAAAAATCCATTAATATTTAAATAATAATAATAAAACAATAATAAAATTAAAAATAATTTATTAATAATAAAGTATAAGCAAATATACAATTATAATTATAAAATATAATAAGATTATATAATAATATAAATAATATTAAATATAAGAAAAATAAAACTAAATCTATATAATAACAATAATACATAATAAGTAATTATAAAACGCAATAAAGATAATATAAAAACCAAGTAATATACAATAAGCTATAAATTAATAATAATAAAATTAAAAATAATAAAAATTATAAAGAAATAGTTAAATAGAGCATATATAAACTATTAAGTAAATTTTTTTAATAGTTTCCGTAAGAATTTTAATAAAAACAAACAAAAATAATAATATAAAAGTCCATATTTTAATAATAATAATAACTATAATAATAAATACTTTTTTGCATGCGGAGTCGTTATTTATTTCTTTATAAATGCTGCTTTCTGCAAATCTTTGACGAACCTTATTATAATAATAAGTATATAAAAGAAAACTTTTCATGTTATAAATAATTAATTATATATAATCATTATTACTAATTTTTTATGTATAATAATTATATTATTTATAATTATAATCTCCTTTATATATATTTAAAAAAAAATATTACTTTGTAAATTCTATAATAAAATACAACTTCAAACAAAAAGTAAATAATTGAATAAATTCTTTAAATAAAATTAGTCATGAATAAATTAATTATACAAGTATACTATCATATGATTGAACAAAAAATGCGAATAAATCAAAGATATAATTTGATTGGAGAATAGGAAAACCTCTTCCCACGAATCAGAAAAACGTAGTCGTGGTTGAGCAGCTTCCAGGTCTTCCTTAAAACGTTGTAATTTTCTTTTTAGGCGCCTTTCTTCATCCTTTTGTCTCTGCATTTCTTTCTCTACCGCTTTTCATGGAGCTTATATTTTAATAATAATATCAAACTTAATATAACAATTTAAAATTTTAAAAAAAAATAAAAAAAAGTTAATATATAAAAGTATGTAAGTTTTCAATTTTATTAATAACCGCCTATTAAAATAATTATTCTTTTTAAAATCTTTCATTTTTCTAATAAAAAGGGAAAAAAGTTTTTAATATAAAAATTACGTAAAATCTTACAAATTAAAAAAAAGTCACTAAAAATACAATAAAAAAAAGTTTGAATACTTTTTTATGGTATTAATTTTAATTTATAAATGAATAATAATAATAATAATCACAATAATAATACTTTATGAAAGCAAAGCTTAATATTAATGGGATCCAACACTTTACTTCGCTCATCTGCGGCGATGGCCTCACAAAATTTATCAAGCGACGTTTTGTGATCCATTTTAAAATTCATTTCCTATTGATCCAATAACAACACGTATAAAGTCATTGCCAAAAGTTAAAAGCAGAGATTCCACCTTTATAATGTCCTTAATCACGTGCATGCACGCGTGTAGCGTTTCCATCAAATCAGCGACGTACAATTTGAATAAATCAAGCGTGGTAGTGCCGAGATATTTCAGAGGCGCTTTTGCTCGACAATCGTCTGGCAAAAGGTACCAATGAAACAAAAAATACCATTAAAAACTGCCAAAAGAAGTATAAACATTCATGAATAATAATGAAACCCTTTATCAAAGGAAAAATCTCTTTCCATTTGCTGATAGCCGTGAGCACACCTCGATCCTTTAACTCATAAAAAAGCGCCTATAATAAGTAAACTGGTTGAGAAAAGGGGGCGGACATGTGCGATTGGCCAATAAATTAATGTATAACAAAAACAAAAAAACTACCAAACAACTTTCTCTCGCTTCTCTCGCTTCTCTGCGTAATAATGCGCGGGCTTCTCTGCGTTGCGCTTCGTACTCCTTTTCTTTCTGTAATAATATGAATATAAAAACAACAAACAATCAACGTCAAAAACCTCTTTGACGAGGTCTTCGTAAGCCCTCAGCATGTCAGCGCGGTACTCAACAGCATCCATGGCCTTCAACCACGAATCACTTTCGTTATAAAGTGGATGGTTTCTGTAAAACTCCGAAATCTACCAATAAAAAAAGACAATACAAAAACTTTTTACATCATTATCCAATTAAAACGCAGTCTTTAAACAAACAAAAAACACGTACATCCTTTATTTTAATGAAATAAAGAATCAAGATTAAAAGTTTATATATCAAAAAGTATACTAGTCAATGTTAATTGGGTTTACCATTTCATTATAATCCATAAAAAAATCTACAACTTATAAAAAAAAGGCATTTATATTTCCAACAAAAAAAATACAAAACATACTGAATTTTTTTACCCAACAAAATATATAAATATAAAAGTGAGACAAAAACCATGCTCCAAGTGGTCGTAGGAGTTACCGGGCAATGCGCACGGAGAAAACTTTGAAACTTATTATAGTATTCCTCGTGCTTGGCGCGCATTTCGCCCTATCAAGGGAGTCAACAAATAAATATCAAAAAAAATAGAGGTTTCCAAAAAAAAATTTTTATAAATATTAATAAATAGAATTATAAAAACCTGTAAGATATGTATATAATATTTTTTATTATTTATAATTATTTTTATGTAAAAAATTTTCTACTATATATTATTACTATAATAATAAAAAAGATTACAAAACCATATAAGAAAAATAAAAAAAAACAAAAATTTTTATATAATAAGAATTACAAAAATGTATTCTTATAACAACTTAAAAAATACATATGAAAATATTAAATATTATTATTAACTATTACTACTATAAAAAAAGTTTTCCTACCAAAAAAATATTTATTTTAATTAATTAAAATAAAGAAAACGAAACCATATAAAAAAAATTAAAAAGTCTTATAAAATAAGAAGAAATAAGTATTCTCATAACAGCACAAAAAGTTGAATATAAAAATATAAATTAATTAATAATATTGAATTTTAATTATTAAATTTATACAATAAATAGAATTTTAAATATATAAATTTTATAATCTTATAAGTTATAAAAAGATTAATATTTTTTTATATTCACAATTATTATTATAAAGAAATATAAGAAAAGTATTTAAAAAAAATAAAAAGTTTTATAATATAAAAATAGAAATAAGTATTATTACAAAAACTTTATATTTACAATTATTATTATTATAGAAAAAAAATATAACAGAAGTATAATAAAAAACAAAAAATATACCGTTTTATAAAAGTGGTAATAAAAATATAAGAAAAGTTATATAAAAATTATTATTATAATCAAACCCGTTCGGCTCGTTCTTTATCGGCCACGTAGTCTTCATAAATTTCCTTGCAGTCTTTTTCACTATTAACAAGTTTATATTCAGAAGAGTCTTTCACTAATTCATAAACTTGTCTACATATATAAAAATTTAAAGTTTAGTGAAGTTTATAAGTAAAAATAGTAATAATAAACTTTTACTAAATACAATAATATGTATATAAAAATTTACTTAAAAATAATAATAGTTTAGTAAAAGTAAATAAAAAAGTAAAACCTTTTTTAGGTATATAAGTTGTATATAAAAAGTATACTTAATAAAAATATATTTGTGAAAAGTTTAGAAAAGTATTAAGTAAAAAAATAAAAAAAATAAACTTTTATAAAAATAAAAGTAACAATAAAAATAAAATTAGTAGAAGTTTATTATAAATATATATATAAATAAAAGTACAATTTTTTACTATAAAATCTTTGTTAAGTAAAAAATATAGTTATAAAAAGTTTACTTACTAATAATAATAAAAAAAGCTTAGTAAAAGTATTAAAAAAAATTAAAAAATAACCTTTTTCTCTAGAATTAATAATAATTGGCATATAAAAAGTTTACTTCACAATAATAATAAAATACTTATAAGTTTTTTTTTTAGTAAAAAAAAATATAAAATGGAAGATTATATATAAACACTAATATATAATAATAAAAGTTATTAACAGAATAATAATAAAAGATTTTACTTATTAATAATTAACTAATAAATATAAAAAACTAAATAATATATACAAATACTAATACTAATACTAATAATATTAACAATAATAATAAAATTTATATAAAATAAATATAATAATAATTCTACTTTTAAATAATAATAATAAAAAGGCATAATAACAAAAAATATAATAATAATAAATCAAGAATATTTAATAAATATTAATAAAAAAAAAAAATTGTAAAAAAAAAAGTTTCTATTTAATAGAAATATAATAAAAATATAAATTTCAATAGTAATAATAATAGTAGTAAAAGTTTTATCAAAGTTTTTAGGAGTAGACATAATTTTCTATAATAAATATAGTAAGTAATAATAAAAACGAGACATGGAAATAATAAAGTAATCACTAATAATATAAAATAAATAAAATGATATAATAATTTTTATAAAGATAAATAAATAAATAATAAATAATACTATAAAAATAAAAATAAAAATTTTTTTATAAAAAAATAAATAATAAAGTAAATGACTATAATAATATTATTAAATAAAAATAAAAAAAATTAATTCTTTTTTAATTAACATAAATAATAAAGTAAATTCATAAATAGATTATAATAAAAAAAAGTATCTAATAAAAAAAATAAATGAAATAGTATAATAAGCAAAAGATAAAAGTTTGTTTAATATATAAAAAAAAATAAAAAATTAAAAAGCTGCCGAAAATATAAAATATATATTTGCTATAAATAATAAATATAAAAAAAACCAATAAATATTATATATAGAAAAAAAATAATAAATAAAAAATATTTAAAGTTTTAGTATAATTATAAAATAATAATAAAAGTAAATTAGCGAAAAAAAATATTTTTCATATAAAAATAATAAAACTTGAAAATAAAAGTTTTCTTATATAAAATATATAATAATTATATTTTTTTAAATAAAAATAAAAACACTTCAAAGCTTTTACATGTCAGCCATAAAATGTAAAAGCATAAAAATATTATAAGAAAATTTTTATTAAAAAATAAAAAAATATATTTTTTATGAATTTAAAAAAAAAATAAAAAGTTTTATTTACGATAAAAGTAATAAAGGTAACTTGGCAAAAAAATATTTTAAAATATGTAAGAAATTGCTATAAATAAGAATATATGAAAGTAATTTAATATTGTAAAAATAGTATTATATATAATAATAATAACACTTAAAAGTTTACAAAATATATATAAAAATCTGAAAGTTTTATAGTAAATATAAAAATGATAATATTTCTTATATAATAATAATAATAATTAAAAGTTTTATACATATAAAAAAACTGCTATAATATAAATAAAAAAATATAAAAGTTTTATAAATATAAAATATTTTTTATATAATAATAATAATTAAAAGTTTTATATATAAGAAAAAACTGATATAAAATAGAAAAAACAAAAGTTTTTTAAAATAAATAAAAGGAAATTGTTTTTTATTAATAATATAAAATAATATTTTTTATGTAATAATAATAAAGTTTTCGTAAATAAAAAAAAAATTATAATAAAACATTATGCATAAAAGTTTTTTTAAAAAAGTAATAAAAAGGTCATATAATAAAAAAAACATAAAAGTTTACTATAAAAAATAATTATAAGGTTAAAAAAAAATATATTTTTGGTGGAAAAAACACAAAAGTTCTTTTATTAAATATATATATATAAAAATTGAAATCTACCAAAAAGGAACGAATCAGAATAAAAAAAGTTTCAAAAAAAATAATGAAAACCTCCATCGCATGTGATGGTTGAGTTCGGCGTGCTGTTCTAAATATTTCCGGAAGTTGACTTTCAGTTCCCGAAGTTTTTGCCGAATCTGAACAAAAAAGATAATAAAAGTAAAGAATAGTTATAAAAATTTACATATTATTTTTATTAATATTTTATTATAAATAATAATGTTGTTAAACTTAAAAATTTTATAGTGAAAAAAATATTTAATTACTTTTTATTATTTATACACACTTAATAGTAACTATATCTTTAGACTTCATTATTTATTATTATTTTTTATTTTTTATGAATATTAATATTTTATTATAATAAAAACAATATTTATCAACTTTTATTTATTATTATAATAATAATTATTATTAATTATACTCCATTTAATATTAATATTTTATTTAAAAATCTTAATGAAAAAAAAATAAAAAGTAAAATATATTTTTATTATTTATTATTATTTTTTTATATAAATCATAAATTTTATTATAATAAAAAATTTTAAAGTATTACTTATTATTATTACACTGTTAATTACTATTAATATAATTTAATTATGTTATTTAGAAAGGAATAAAATAAAAATTATTTAATAAAACAATAATTATTATAAACTTTATTATTATTTATTAATATTTGTTTATATAATAATAATTATTATTTAAAAAAATAAAATATATTTACTGTTTAATTAATCATTTTTTATATAAATATTTACATTTTGTTCTATTACATATTTAATAACTTTACTTATTACTATTGTTACACATATAAATATTATTAATTAAATTTAATTTATTTACTTATTTAGAAAAAAATATAATAAAAATTATTTAATAAAATAAAAGTTATAAAAAAATATTAAAACATTTTTTTTATGAATATAAATATTCATTATTGATTAAAATAATAATTATTTAAAATAGAGAGTTAAATATAGTTACTATTTATTATTATCATTTTTTAAAGATTATAAATATTTTATTTTAATAAAAAACATTTCATAACTTTTACTTATTATCATTATTACACTAACAATTATTAATATAATTTAATTTAATTTTATTGTTTATAAAAAAAATAAATATTTAAAAATTTTTATAGACTTTATTATTTATTATTAATTTTATTATAAAAAGAATATTTAAAACTTTTACTTATTAATCATTATACTTTAAAGTATTATAAATATTTTACTTTCAAAAAAATAAAAAGTAGTTTAATATTATTATTATTATTATTAAATTTTTTTAATTAAAAACAATATTTATTAAAGCTTAGTTGTGATATAGTACTAAAAAAAAAATAACAATAAAAAAAAGGGTAAAAAAAAATTAGACTTTATTATTATCATTTTTATAGATATTATTATTTTATTTAAATAAAAAATAATTTATTGCTTTTATTTATTATTATTATAAAACTTATAATTATTTTTTTTTAAAGATAAAAATTATAGTAAAAATCAGTTTATTATTGTGATTCCTAAATATTTCTTTAATAAAAAGTAATTTATTGTCATTGTTATTTATAAATGTTTACTAGTTTATTAAAAAAAAATAATTAATATCTTTTTACTTGTGAATATTGATTTTTATTATATGTAGTAAATTTCATTTAAAAAATTAAAAAACGTATAAACTTTTTTATTTATTTTTTAAGTAATACAAAAAATTATTACTATTTTTTTAAGTAAAGATATTTTATTATTAGTATACTTAATAAAAATTTTCATAAACTGATAAATATTTTATTATAAAAAAATTAATATTTATTATTTTTTACTTATCAAAATTTCATTTCCATTAAAACAATATTTTTCTATTTATTATTATTATAAAACTAATAAAAAATATTTTTTTTTAAAAACCCCAATTTAAAAACTTTTTTATTACTTATTACTAAAATTAAAAAATATATTAATATTTATATTATTTTTATTATATACTATAAAAATTTTCTTTGAACAGTGAAATAATATTTATTTAGATTATTAATAAAAATAATATATGAATAGTTTTCAAAATAAACTAATTAATTTTTAATAATAACAAAAAATATAAAAAAATAGCCAACTTCATCTTTTTCTTCTCGAGCTCTTTCGTACTTGTATTCGTTAAAACACTGCTTTTTTTCTTGATAAGTTTTCAACGCGTTAAATCTTTGATCATCTTGAATAAGTGGAATAACCTATCAAAACACACATAGTTAAATCTAGCCAATCAAAAAAATTTAAATTATATAAGGTTTCAAAATTGAAAAAACATAAACAATTTAATATTATGAAATAATCAGTACATTTTCCTTTATAATTATTTTCATTCTCAAGTTAACAACATTAATTTTTGTTATTTTTTTTAAAATATTCCTTTTATTATAACAATAATAGAAAAAAATACATTTTTTAATATAAATGTTCAAACTTCTTTTAATAACTCAAAAAAAGCATATACTCATTTTTTTAAATTTCCACCAATTATATCAATTAATATAAACTTTATTGCTTCATATACCCTTTTCATTGGTCAATTTTAAAATCTTCAAAAGACGAATAATTATAATATTTTCACTTTTCAAGTTAAAAATAACTAAAAAAAGGTTCATAGAAACTTAAGTTTGTAATAAAAATATATTAGTTTTATTACTTTTCATATATAATATCCATTATTATTTCCAAAAAATTGATATAATTTTTTCTGTCAACTATATAAATATTAATAATACTTGGTAATTTAAGTAATCCAGTGTTATAATAAACTTTAACTATTATTATAATAATTTTATAATATATAATAATTACTTTAATAAATTTTAAAAAATTATTTATTACATAAAATAAAAAAAATAATACTACAAATCTTTAACCAAAAAAATAGTAAAAAATAAAAAACTTACACTATCAAAAGACTTTGTGTTGGACGGAATGTTCTAAATTTTTGCGTAATATTCATAATAAATAGTAATAATAATTATTAATAAATCTTTATTTATTATAATGATATTATATAACAATGTAAAAAACAAAAAAATCTCTATATGAAATAAAACTGAAGAGAAATTTTTATTTAATTTTAAATACATATATAATAATAAAAGTTATTAATAAATGATTTTATTATTTAGATATATAATATATAAAACGGAACTTTTAATAAAGAAAAATGTAATAACGAAACTATAAACGTCTATAAATAAAATAAAGCCGGAGAGAAACTTTTAGTCCTCTTTCTTAATATTATATATTAAAAAAATTAGAAAATATATGCAACAAAAAGTTTATTTTAAAATATAATTAAAATAAAAATAAAAATCTATAACATATATAAATGGAACGTTTATTCTAAAATATTATAACAAAAATATAAAAATCTATAAATAAAAATGAAAGAACTTTTACCAATTTTTTTTAAAAATAAGTAAGAGTTATTTATAAGTTTTTTAAAAAAATAATAAAATTTTTATTACTACAAAAATAATAAAACTTATATAAGAAAGAACGTTTAATAAAATGATATAAAAAGTAAAAACTAAAAGTAATTTTTATTAGTATTAAAAAAAATTTATTAAACTTGTAGGTAAATCTTTTTAATATATAAAAATTATTTAATCTTAATAAATTTATGTAATAATAAATTAAAAGGAAAAGTAAAAAATACTTTTACAAAAATATGAATTTACTTATAAAAGTTCGTAAAAACATATAATAAATAATAAATTTTTTATAAATCATTTTTAAAAAAAAATTATTTAGTAATAAATAAAAGGAACGTATCTTAAACAAAATAATATTTAAGTTATTTTTTTAAATATAGTTACTGTTAAAAAAGACTCAAAAGAAAATAAAAAAATATCTAATAATAAAAAATATTAATAAATTTTTTAAATTAAATTTTTTATTATAAAAAATTATACAATTTATAAAACGAAGCGTTCATATATAAATAATGTACAAAACGTAAAAATATTTAATATATAAATATGAATTTAATTATAAAAAGCTTTAAGAACTAAAAAGTAATTATGATCATTTTCTTTTAAAAATAGAAGTTTTAATTAAAAAAACTTTTTGAAAATTATTGATTTGATAAAGAAATTATTTTTAAATAAAAACTTGATAATTACAAATTTTATAAAAACTTATAAAAAATTAAAAATATTAAAATATTACTAAAATAAAAGTATAATGAAAAAATTTATAATAACAAAAAAATAATAAAAAAAAATATTTTACAATGAAAAGTTTTAAATTATAAATTTTAAAAATAGAAATTTTTTTAATAAAATTATGAGATGAATTAATATTAAAATAAAAATTTTGAAACAAAAACTTTTAAAGAAATAGTAATTTAATAAAGAAAATATTTAACAATAAAAAATTTAAAAATTACAAATTTTAAAAATTAAAACTTTTATCAAAAAGTTTAAATACAAACTTTAAAAATTCAAAATTTTATAAACTATATTTAAATATGAAATTGATATTAAGTTAAATATTAAGACAAAGAATTAAAAAAAATTATAAAGTAGTATACAATAAAAAATTTAAAAAGAAAAAAATTTAGAAAATTAAATTACTAAATTATTAACATTAAAAAAATTGTAAATTAATATATTTAACAATAAATAAAGTTAAACATAAAAACATTAAAAAACATATCAAAATAATAAATTCATAAAAAATTATTTTAGTATGAAATTTTTAATTAAAAAATTTAAAAAAAGGCTAGAGCCTAACTTTATCTCTTAAAAGTTTCTTCAGTGCTTGTTTTGCTTCTTCTTTAGTTGCATAAAGAAATTCTCTTTCAGAAGCAGAATCTTTAGTTCCGTCAGAAATTTCAGAAATCTCAACTTGTTCCACTACCGGAAGAGCTTCCTCTGGTCTAAAAAAAAGATAATAATTAAAAATAACTAAATAATTATAATTATTTCTAAAAAAAAATAATGACAAAGAAAATAATTAAATTTAAAAAAGTAAAATCTGACAGGAAATAACAATAAACTACAGCATTATTAGCTCTGAAAAAAATTAGACACTTTTTTATTAAAGAGGCTTTAATTTTTGCTAATTCAGGGGGTTCAGTCCAAACAGAAACTTTAGTTTCGCGATTATAGTAATATTTCTTTCCACTTTCTGAAGTATACTCTTTCCAAACACAATCAGAAAGTAAAATCTATTAAAGAAAATTAAATAGAAAATTTAAATAAAAAATTAATAATTAATATAAAAAAAATAAAAATTATCACTATAAAAGTATTATAATAAAAAGAAACTTCTTCGCGAGTCTTCATCTCTGCTGGCTTTTCCCAGGTTGATTCTTTAGTGATATTATTATAATAATAAACTTTCCCTTCCGGTGTTTTATGCTCAGACCAAACCGTTTTTTTATCTGAATTGGCGAGATTTGTTACTACAGGAGAACTAAATTATAAAAAAAAGTTAAAAAGAAAACACCGCTGATAGCTTAGTTATTAACCTTGAAAGTTGTACGCTAGAAGGGACAGCAGTGGGTAAAGTACCTCCCACTACTGACATGAGAGGAGGCATAACGCCAAGAGGCAGAGGAGCATTAGATGGAATTGAAAGTGAAGAAGAAAGGCCTCCTAAGCTATTCTACCAAGGGAAAAAGAAAAAAAAATTATAAAAAAAAATTAAGCAATATATAATTGTAAGCAAACCTGATTAGGAAAGGTAAACGGAGTGTTATACATTATATACTTTGGTTTCAAGTTAAAAAAGGGTTACACTTGTTAAATTTATAATTTAATTAAGGACTAAGTTAAGATTATTTTAATAATAAGCAGTTCAAAACCTAATAGACTCGTTTCCATCTATTAAAATTTCAATAGCAGTAAAATATTAAACCTTCTAAAACAAAATAAATTAAAAAGCAAAAATCTCAAAAATAAATTTAAAAATGTAAAAAAAATACAAAAAAAAATGAGAGCACAAAAATTTTTAGTAAGCAACTTTTACATTTTCATGAGCGCGTGCATACTAAAGCCGTTGGTGCGTATCAAGCAATGCAAAGCTTCGCGTTGTAGTGGGTTACCTTTTAGTTTTCTACCAGTCAACAGATGTAGATATTCGCTGAAAGTTCTTTTTTGCTTCTGTTTATTTCGTTCTTTTAATATTTTAAATCTTTTTAAGTTTTTTTTTATTAATTTATTAATATCTTATTTTTTTATAAAAAATTTCATATAGTTGAGAATAAATTAAATTTTTATTTAAAAACGAGTTTTTTATTAGAATTTGAGCTGATTACTAAAAATATTTTTTTTAATTGCATTTTTTAAAGTTTTAAAGATTTTAGTTTAATAAGTAAACTCCTTTATACCTTATGTTTCAGAATGTACTAAAGAATCGAACTTTAAATAAGTTAAAAAGCAAATTTGCAAAATCTTTATTTAAAACTAGGTTGAAGTATCCTAACAATCTTATTTTAATAGCTAACATTTACTTAAACAAATAAAGTTTTGTTAAAGAGTTCACCCAATATAAATAAATTTAGAGTTTTTATGCAGTGTCCATAACTGGTTTTATATAATGTTTTTAATCCAGCAAGTTTAAAACTTTTTTATTGTAACAAAGTTGTCCGTATCTTTCATTATGTTTAGTTATAGTCCAAAGCCTGTTAACTATTTCAATCATACATCTTTGTAGTTACAGGGTAAACAATCTCTTTTTTATTTTATAAAAAGAAAAATTACTTTACACTATACTTCGCGAAAGGATATGATTAATTTTATTGAAGTAAATTTAATTTTTAACCTCTGTAAAAGTAATTTTTACATTGCAAAATAAAATCTTTTGTTAAACAATATTCTTCGTTTAAACTTTTAGCTGCACATTTTATAGCAATACTATCGTTTAATATATTATATTTACTTCATGGTAAACCCTCACATACCATTATTGTCTTTTTACCAAAAATATTCATATTCTGAAGGATTACTTGAACAATATTGTAAATTTTTTAAAAGTCCTTCCTTTAACTAGTAATTAAATATAATATTGTTGTTGATACTTGAATACTACTTGTACAACACCGAGTTAATGAAATTAAACAATTTTTCTTTTACCACTTGATAGTAAGAAGCGGCTCATAGTTATTACAGTACTGTCGTATAAAATTTTCATACGATAAACTCTCCCATTTCGTTCGCACTTGTCTTATTAATTACTGCCAGTTGACTTTGCCTTAACCAAGTTACAATTAATGTTCTCCCATAGACTTACTCCTCTCTTTATATATAAATAAAGTTTTTGGTTGATTCTTTTCTTATTGCTAATCACGCCGAGTTGTTATTAATAAAAAAATTATTTTTTTAACTTCACTACGCTACCGTAAGCATTCATTTTTCTACTTTTAAAAAAAATGTCTTATCAATGTAGAAACTCTGATACTAAATGAGGCAACCCCTTAGCTTGAGTGGTCAACAATTTTTTTTTTCTTAATGACATACTAAGGCCAGTCTTTATTACCTTTTCCCGAGGGGTGAAGGCAGGGGTGCCTTCCAATGTGTGCTCTTTAAAGAACTATAATAACCGTCCCGAAGGACTGGAAAAGCGGGGGCGAGGACTAGTAGGTTACTTAAGAAAAACCATCGAGAATTGTGGTCGTTGCTCTGCGGTTAAGGCAGCCTTAGGTCGCAAGACCCCGAGGCCACTTGGAGATGCCGGCCAGCACCCACAGCCTGCTGTTAAAAAAATATTTGTAAAATATCGTTCAGTACTACTAAGTTAATAAACATTGATTACTTTTTCTTCAAAATCTTTATAAAAGTATTAAAAGTTGTTAAAAAATTATAAAAACCATTTTCTATATTTAGTATTAATAATAGTCATAACCCTTCCATTTACAATTAAAATTCTATTGATAAAAATAATTAAAATAATAATTAGAATAATAAAGAATTAAAAATTCTAATAAAGTTTTTGCAAGGCAAAAGCACTAAAATAGTAATGATTAAAAAAGTCTATTAAATATAATAAAAAATTGTATTATGGTTCAGTGATTATTGTAAATTTCAAAATGCCTCAGGTTGAGTACCTAGCATTACCTTCCGCAGCTGTTTTTCTAACATGCCTAGGAAGAACCGATGGATTTGTATTATTAAGGCGCACGTCTGATTCGCCTTGATCGGTTGGATTGGTATATACTGAACAAAATAGCTTTGGCTACTAGTACTATACATAAGCGGCGGATCCCATAGTTAGTAGTTATTATATATTAATACTTAGATATAATAAGCAATATTTTAAATAAATAAAATTATTATATATGGTATAATCAAGTAAATATCTTTATTATAACAAAAATATAAATATAATTATATTTAAATATTGCGACGTTGTAAAGCTATAACCACCAAGCGGACTTTCACAATAAAATCAATAGTATGATTATTAATGCTCGCCAATTTTTTTTTCTTAATAACTGTTTATTATTACTGACTTATGATCTGTGCTTTAATAATAATAAATAATAATAATAAAAATTTCATCATTATATATTAAAAAGGTTCTAAAATTACCGCTTAATAGCGTTTATAAAAAAAATAGCTCTTTTTTAATTTTTAATTAAAATACTATTTGCTTGTCAGCCATTATTTATAATAGTTAATTAATGATGTGGATGCTTAAGCAATGTTTAAGCATTATTATTTATATATATAATATACAAAACAAAATTATGTGGCTTTATTAAAAAAAAATGCTTATAACAAGAATTTTTTGTTACAGGCCTAAATGCATGAAAGCTTTCTACTTGCTTGATGATCTTATCGAACATTTTTTGAAATGAGCACATTCTCAGAGAGATTCCAAAATTTACACCCCAAACTTAGCGTATTACACGTTTATGTCTTCTTTCTCGGTATTACTCTGATGAACTTTTTATAAGAAAAAAGTTTGAGAGATTAAAAACAAAAAATGTTATTGTAAACAATACACATCCTACTTTATTGTATACATTAGACAGAATATATAAGCTATTAACATCAAGTGGATTTATTATAAACATTTTGAACACCAGTTTAAACTTTCTAAACAATATAAAAGTAGTTGAAAAAAGTATAAAACCTTTTGGAGAAAATATCCAAAGTATCTTTAATATAAATAATAATAGTAATACTGTAGTTAATCAATTAAATAATAGAGTCGCTACTCATATTTCTAGTAAGAAAAATTTATGGTCTAGTTATTACCATCTCAGTGTTTTTGTTAATTATAACAGCGACTATAGTTTAAGGAATCACCGTACTTCTTTAGCTGTTACTTCTATTTGCGTGAATCAAGAGAAATCTGCTTTTAATATCAGTTTTATTTTTAATTCTTAAAAGTCCAATAATAAAAATAAAAGCGATTGTGTTGGTGAAGTAAAGCCTATTACCAACCAAAGCACCCATCCCTCCCTTCTTTCAAGCAGGTACGTAATTGTTGTATTGGTATCTTGTCTGCAATTAATCTTTTGTTTTCTTAAGGTAAAATTTTAAGAACTTTAAAAGGTCCACTATTTTTTTAAATTCTCAAACTTTATTGTTGAAAGCTGATTATAAAAAAAAGAAGACTAAGCTTGGGATTAACTGAATATTATTGTCCAGTTGTCGGCTGTGGAAAACGTTATATGAGTTGAGTTTTAAAGGCCTAAGTTTCATCGCCACGCAAGTTTTGTAAGTCATCTAAGTTTTAAAATATATTCGCGTTAGTAAAGTATTACGAAAGTTTATGGCAGGCTTCCTTGCAAACTTTATGATAAATTTAAGAGGTTTGTTATTTTTAATATTTGCTTATGCATGGTAAAATTGTTTTGCTTTTATATAGTTTTTAGCCCGTGCTTCCGGTAGTTAAACATATTTGTAAAAGTAAACTTATTACAAAAATAATTTTCTTGAAGTTATGTAAGGTAAAATTTGTTGCTCTTATACTAGGTAATAACAAATAGAATTAAAAGCATTTAAGTCTTTAAATGTTATAGTATTTGCGAATTATCAAGGCAAAGTAATGTCTTTAATTATTTCTAACATGTAAGCGACACAAAGCTAAAAATAAATTTTTTAAATAACATTTTAGCGTTTTTGTATTTTACTTTTTAACCTTGTCTTCAGCTTTTTTTAGTTTAAAAAAGGAAATTTAAAATTTTTCATAATTAAAATAATTGTCAGTTAACTGTCATATTTGCTGGCGTAAAGTTGGCATTGAACATTAACAATCTTTCGAGATAATAAAAAATAGTTTATATTTTATATACTCTGCTTATGTCACATAATAAAATAAAATATTTAGTCGAGGAAAAAGTCGTTACTCGGAAGCCTTCTACCATATAGTTTCAGTAAACAAATACATTAAACAGTTGTGCTTCAAGTATAAGATTGCGTTACAGTAAAATGGAATTAAATCTTATTTTCAGTAAAGTTTAAAGTATTGTATCACCAATTTCTCTGAAGCTTTATTCGCTATATATACTCATTTCAAGGTTTATATTTAAATTCACTATACGCTAAGGATTTTAAGTACAACATATAGCGCTGAACATCCTTTATGCCTAAACTTAGTAATGCTGTAGTTTTTTACTATGCCGTAGCCAGCCACGCTAATAAACTGTAGCATTATTAGTTTTGTTAATATCATTTCGTTTCACCAGAGTTTTGTCAGCAATGAAGTTGCCATTCTTCTAAAGGTTGAGGCCTTTAAAACTTTATGTTTGGTTACAGTATTTCCATTTTTTTTTACCAATAGAGACTTCCTTGAAAAAAGTACTGAGACTTATATGTATAAAAGCAGATACTTTTAAAGAGAAGAAAATTTCAGTCATTTGATTATATGCTAATTTTCTTGCCTTTATCTGGGGTAAACTTCCACATATGATTGAGAAACTTAAAATAATAACTACACATTTATGAGGAACTTCTCTATAAGTAGAGTAAACTTCAAATAAGTTAGACTTCCTTAATTAATTGACTATTTGAAAAATATTAAAAGTTTTTATAGAAATCAACTTGCCTAACTTTATTAAGAGGCTTTGAGACTTTAAGTAAAGCGAATTCTGCGCTAGTGTTAAACTGTGCAGGTCATTATGCTTGCTTGTGGAACGCTCAGTTAAATAATATCATTTAAGTTAAGCGAGACTAGTATATTGATACATTGTTAAGCATATAAGTTATGAGGTTTAACTTTTAAGCCCATAGCAAAGGTAGTTACTTTCTTACGCTCGGAAAAAAACTTCTTTTTAGAAGCTTGTAAGGCTTGTCTGACTATTATATTTACAATTATGAAACTTTTAACTATTAAGGTTATACAAAATATCCTTAATTACAGCTATTAGTGCCTGTAACAGATAGGAAAAAATAGCAAATATATAAAATTAAAGAAATGAGGGGAAAAAAGAATAAGAAAAGAGTTTGGTAAAAGAAAAAATGCTGGCTTAAGTTTATCATTAATTGTGATAATTTTTTCTCTGTGACCTCGTAGAATTTATATTTAACAAAAAAATGTGATTGTATAAGATAAGATATGTTAAGTAAAATATTTATTGATAAATCGTCTTTTAAAATAACTTTATGTATCGGTTTTCGGCTATATATAAACCCTATAACACAATAACACCGTATACAAAAGCACCTAAGATGAAGTTCAAAACCCAAAATGCAAGAATAAATAATGTAATACATTAAGTACCAAATACACTAACTATAAAACACAAATACACAGAACGAAATACAAAAAACAGAAAACCTAAAAATAAAAAATACAAAACACACCCATAATTTTCAGAAAAAAGTGATTGGTAAATCACCAGTCCAATTACCTGAGGACAGCTAATAAATGTTCAAGAAAAAAAAATTTATTAATTACCACCACAAACTAATTGACACATTAATAATTGGATACAAAAAGTAAGCTAAGTATGTTTAATAAAAGCTAATGTGGTTTACTAAATTCATTAAACAAATATGGAAGCATTTTTTAACCTTTTCTTAAGGTATAAATGAAGACCAGAAACCAGCCACGGACGAGTTCTTCTTCGTGTGTGTTATGTCTATTACACCGTCCTGATTTCTTCTTATACACGTTATCTTTATATTTGTTGTAAATTATTTATTTAATAAATTTTCATTTGTATACATCCTATACAAATTTTGAACCTTTCCATATTTGTACCCAGTTATTGTTTTATAAAGCAAATTTCTCTTAATAATTTTGTTAAATTTTTAGTATACTTTTATCTATGATCGATTTACTTTCGCTACAATATTTTAGTTAGGGTTTTGACTTTTTTGGCTTTTAGTCTTTGAGTTTCATTAATTATTAGTAGTTTTTATATAATCTAAGGAAAATAGCTTATCTATGTTTTTTAATAATTAGGATATTCGTCTAATAAAAGAACAATTTTTTTGAATTTTTTCTTTTAAACTTCGAGTTAAGGAATGGGATGGAGGTAGCTTATATTTGCCATTGCAATATTTATTGTATCGTCCCAATTATAGTTTTGACAGTATTAACTTGTATTTTCTTTCTAAATATATTATATAAGCCTTCTTCTCATTTTTCTTTTAAGTTATACCAAGGCTGCATAACATAGCTTAAAAAAAGCTCGTTATTTTAAGTACTCGTCCAATTTCCTTTGCAATAACTTTGTGGTATTTCTTTTTTAAAGTAATGCTAAGTACGTTACCCCTTCGTTAAGTTTGTTTTCCTTTCTGCCTTGAGGATTAATTCTAGATTTCTTACTTTTTTAACTAAGATACCTTTAATCCTAAATTTAGCTATAAATCACTTGCAGTATAGAATTACTAACTGCTATTATTTACATTGTCAAGTCTTAAACTCGCCGGTATAACTACATAGCAGTCTTTTTTAATTTTACTTATCACTCTTATGAACTTCAAAGAAAAGCCGGATCTATGGATCCCATTTTTAGCTTAAGCCGTGCTTAAACAGTTGCTGAAGGTCAGAGAATGAAGTAACTTACATCTCATTTATAAAATGTGTTTTATTTTAGAAACTAAAAATCATAAAACGCTAAATAATTATAGCTAAAAAGGTTTGCAAAGGTCCTAAATTTTGTTATATCTTTAATTTATGGTTGAGAATGGTTTTAAGGGAAAGCGAATATATTTTTTTAATTAAGACGTTTGTATTATTCAAATACATATTTAGAAAAGAGTTCGGACAGGAAATTTAGATTTAACAAAGTATTTTAAACTTGAGATGCATTTGTCACCTCAGATCCGTAATATATATTAGATAAATTAAATTTTGAAATTTAATATTTTTTAAATAAAAAAAATTTCATGAAACTGCTGTGCTATGCGAACAAAAAAAAATAAAGATATAATTTGTAAAGTGAATGTACTTTTTATTAATTTTAACTTTTATATAAATAGTGCTTTCTTTTTAGTACATGACAAATAAAAAATTTCTAATTTATACAGTCGCTGTGCTAAACATTCTGTTCTGGTAAGACGATTCTCACAATCTTTTTATTTAAATTTAATTTGATTCTGTTGTAAAGCGCCACACCAAACACAGCTAGGAACATCCCAAAAGCGTTTGCGGGCTTTACTGCATTTTGAAAATGGAAAATGGAAGTGATGATGATGACGATCCTTTTAGTCGTATTGGCCACCTTAAAATAAAAGGTTGAAATAAATTATATATAATTCTTGTATTTTTTAGTTAATTTGTAATGAAATTTTTTTTTAGAAATTATTTACTTTCTTTGATTAAATTTAATTCATTAGGAATGAATATGTTATTTATAAAAATAATAACTTTTTTAATAGAAAATATGCGGTGAAAAAACTTTTTAATGGAATTTTTTTAAACGTTTTTTGTAAATAATCATTATACATTTATTTTTTTTCTTTTAATTTCAATAGTTTGCCTGTAGTTTTATACATTCTTATAACAAAATATTTATATTTTTAAATTTGATAAATTGCTTGTAATTTTATACGTTTTTATAATCAGATAATTATTTTTTACCCAAATTTTATAGATTGCTCGTAATTTTAAACGGTTTTTATAAAACTATTTTTTTTTGAAAGTCTATACTTAATATGCCATGAAAAATCCTTAGTGAAAAAAAAAAACCTCTGTTTTTTTTAATATAACAAACAAATTGTTAAATTATAAAATTCCATATGCCTTAAAAAAAACTTTACTAATATAAAATGTTATACACTACTTATTATTTCTATAAATATCTATATTTCTACTTATAACACTTTAATAATAAGATTTCCTTATAATTTTATAACTAAGCTTTTATTATTTGCTTATGATCATATTTTTAATTACTTTATTACAAAAGGAGGACCGCTTTCTCAGACGGCAAATCTTTATTAACTAGACTCGGATCTCTTATTTACTTTTGTATAAAGTTTAGTATTCAACTTTTTAGTATCTCCAATTATTGTTACTCAATTTTTTTATTTAAGGAATTAACAAATTTAATTTTATAATTAAAAGTGAAGCGGAATCTAGTTTTAAAAAAATTTATTCCTAATAAACTTTTTACTCGTTCATGCTAACATGCACCCTTTTTTTTTTGCAGGTTGAATAAATATTTATCAATAGTTACTTATAAGCCTCTACTGTGCGTGAAGAGTTTTTTCTATCATTTATATTAACTTTTATTACCACAATTATTATACTATACATAGTATTATTTAATTATTATTATCAATATTATTAATATTAATACTATTCCTATTATTATTACTGTTATTATAAACATAAAGGAGGGAGTAGATTTCATTCTTTTTAATAAATACATAAAAAAAATTCCTATTTTTTTATACACTTTTTAATAAATAATAATATTTTTATATTAGAGTATCTTTTTTATGCAGTGAATAAAACTTTTATTAAATATATATTTTTTTTAAATATCAATATTAATCTGTCTGTTGTATGACAATAAACAATTTTAAAAAGCGTTTAGTTAATATGCTTAAAAAAACTTTACCATTCCTTTTTTTATAGTAATCATATTTTTAGGGAAGTACTGTAAATAAAAAACTGAATAAAATATTTTAATATATTTTTTATTTGTATTTTTCAAATTTTGTACGCAGTAAAAAAGACTTTAAAAATATTATAGAAATTTTTATTTAAAAAAATATTTTATATTACTTTTTTTAATATAACAATAAACTTAAATTTTATAAATTCTATAGTTCGTATGTTTAAAAAAAAACTTTAATAATATTTTTTTTTATCCGGTAATAGTTTTTAATAATAATATGAATTTTTTTTTTCTGTTTCATTTTTTTTAAAAAAATAGATCTTAAAAATGTTATATAAATTTTATTAAATGATATTATTTTCAAAATTTCTATAGTTCATACGCTTTGAAAAAAAACTTTTTTAAAATAATTTTTATTTTTAAAATATAAAGAAAAAAACTTTCTAAAATTTTATATACACTTTCTTAAATTAATATTTTATTTTTTAAAAATATTATATACAGTAAATAATATTATTCAATATAATAGTGAACATTAATTTTATAGGCTCTATAGTTCCTACGCATCGAAAAAAAATGTTTATAATATAATTTTTTTTATACATTACTTTTTTTTTTTTAATTTTAAAAAAAAGTAAAAAAAAGGATTTATAATCTTCAAATATTAAGAATTTTTTTTTTTAAAATTTTTAAGGAGAAAAAAACTTTTTAAACTACTCACTTTTTTTGGATATTTTTTAAATATTAAAAATTAATATAATTTTTAAATTTTTATAATTAATGTGCACTAAAAAAAATTTATTACTAATATTTTTATTTATTTTATATATAATATTGAAATTTATAATATATTTTTATAATTTATTGCATATTAATTTTTTGCTACTTCATAAAATATAAATTTTTTTAGTATATTTTTTTCTTATTAATAACAAATAGAAGTAACTTCTAACGAGATTTCTACTTTTGAATGAGTTAAATAAAAATTTAAAGAAATTTTTTTTATAAAAATATATATAAAAATTATAATGTAATAGTTTTTTAAATTTTTTTTGAGTATTATTATATTGAAATTTATAGCTAAAAAGTTTTCTTATAAAATTTTTATATATTCATTATAATAACTATATATTGAAACTTTTATTATAAGTTTTTTATATAAAGTAGTTAATACTGAAAATATTGGATATTTATTATTTTTATATAAATATAGTTATTTATAAAAAGTATTGTAAACTAATTAAGTTTATATAATAAATAATAATTTTTTTATTATAAGTTATATATATAAAATAGTATATTTATTAATTTATATAATAAATAATTATTATTATAAATTTTATATATAAAGTAATCATTTTTTAATAAATAATGTATACTTATTGTTAAAAGTTTTATAGTAACTATTGAAGAGAGATATTGCATAGTTATTATAAGTTATTTATTTAAAGTTATTATTTTTTTAAATATAATATATATTATTATAAGTTTTACAAGTTTTATGTATAAAATAATTATTTTCAAAAGTTATCGTATATTTTTTAAGTTTATATAATATATATATAGACTGTATATTTACATACTTCATACCGAGTAAGAAACAGGAGAAACAAGAAACAAAACGGAAAAAGAGGCCAAACTTTGTCCAAAATTACAAAAGCCGCAGCTCAAAAGTTTCCAGTAGGGATTTTTTAACTGCTTTATAAAAAATAAATAATAATAGTTAATAAAAAAATATTTTATAAATATAAATTATATTACAACTGTTTGTATATATAATAAATATAATATTTAATAAAAAAGTTAATAAAGAAATACCATAAAAGTTTTATATATATAAGAAATTATAATAATTATTAAAGTTTAATAAATACTTTATAATGTAAATATAGTTTTATTATGTTAAATATTAATCATACTATTATAATACTAGAAAATAAAAAAAATAATAAGAGTAATATCAAATCTAAAAATATAAAATAAAAAATGTTTAATATATAAATTATATAAAATTTGTAGAATAATAATAAGAAAAGTAAAAAATCAAAAAAGATAATATAAAAACTGTTTTCTATATAATAAAAAATAAAAAGAAGCTAATAAAAATATAAAAGTTTTAAAAATATCTAAAATTATTATAAGATAATAATAAAAGTTGATAAAATAAATAAAAAACTGTTTTATTTATATGAAATATTAAAAATAAAAATTAAAAGGTTTAAAATTATATTAAAAAATTTTAAAAACTGTTTTATGTAAGTAATAATAATAAGAAATATAAAAAGAGTTTTAAGATATATAAAAATATAAAAACTGTAATTTATATATATATAAATTATAATAAGAATATAAAAAAAAAAGTTTATAAAATAAATAATAACCATCTAAAGGACTGTTATATATATATATATATATATATATATATATATATGATAATACTAGTAAGAAAATAATAATAATAAATTAAATAAAAAATAGAAAACTTAAACTTTTTCATATATATATAAATAAGTTAATAATAAAGTTAAATAAATTAATAAAAAAGTATAGTAACTTTATTTTTATTTATAAAAATAAGAAAAAAAATGTTTGACAAATATATAAATATAATAAAAAATCATAAAAAGTGTAAAAATTTATAATTTTTAATTCAAGATTTAGTTATTGTAAAGTTGATATGTTAAATAATAATTTCTTATAAAAAATTCTAAATATAATAATGAAATAAAGAAGTAAAAATTATATAAAAACATAAACTTTTATTGAAAAATTTTTTTAAATAAAGACGAATTCAAAAGAGAACTAATAAAAATTTTAATATAAATGAAAATAATAAAAATTTAGATATTTTTTAATGTAAAAACGTTTTATATAAAAAAATTATAAAATAATTTAACTAAATATAGAAGTAAAGATAATATTAAGTAGAAAGACATATAAAGAATACGAAAGCCATAGTACTAATAAAACTATTATTGTAATATTTCTTTGGAGTACTCGAAAATTTAAAAAAATAAATTTTATTAAATAAATTTTTGTTAAAAAAGTGAAAATTATTATAAATTGCGATAATAGTTATTTGCTTTTTGAATGTTTTAAGTTTTTTTTAATAAAATATTAAAGTAAAAAAAAATTATAAATTTATATAATAATTTGTTTTTATATATATTTAAAGTTTTTTTAAAAATATTAAAAAACATGAAAATTGAACGTTTTTTTAAAATATATAGTATTTTCTTTTTGTATATTATATTTGTTTTTAAAAAAAAGATTATAAAATATATAATAATAATGAAAAAATACTAAAATAATATAATTTATTATGAAAGGATCCACTTTTTATGTATATTTTTTTTTTTAAAAAAATAACCTTGAAAAATTTATGATAAAAATAAAATACTAGTAATATAATATATTTTATAATTATAGTAATCCTTTTATTTAATATAAAATACTTTTTTATTATATATATATTTTTATAAATAATATTATTATTATAAAAGTTATTAAATATATTTATAATTATAATAATGCATATATTGATATATAAAACATTATTAAAGTTCTAAAAAATATTAAAAAATTTAAAAAAGAAAGTTATCATTGTATATAAAATATATATAATAAAAAATATTACTATAATAATGCATCTGTTAAAATATAAAACATATTTTATTATAGTTTCATGAAAATAATAGAAATATTATTATTAAAAAGTTACTATAAAATAGAGAATACTGAAACTATATAGTACAGTTGTAAAAAAAATTAAAACATTTGTTTCGTATATTTAAAGTAGTATTTATCTATAATATTTTATGTATTTCAATATCTATTATGCAAGCTTAATAATAAGATTATATACCAAAACGGCTTTATCAAAAGTTAAAATATTCCCAAAATCTAAATATATAATATCAATAATAATAAATATAATAATTAAAATATAAATAATAGTAAATAATAATAAATAATTATAAAGGAATTGAACAAACAAAAATAAAAAGTATATAACTTTTCTATAATAAAAAAATATAAAAATTATAAATTTTTTAAAAATATATAATAAAACCCATTTATTATTAGTATTATTATTAACTTTTATTATTTGTATAAAAAGAATTTATAGATGCTTATTGTTAACTTTTTACTGTTGACTTTTTACTTTTATATAAATGTTTAGAAAATATAATTTACTATTATTAACATTTACTTTATTACAATTACAAAAAAATGTTTTTATTAACTTTTTACTTTTTTTTTATAATGAAAACTTTTATGAAAAAGTACAAAAATATTTTTTTTTATAAAATTTTAATTTTTTCTATGTAAAAATTTTATTTAGTAAAATAAACTTTCTTAAAACTGAATAAACCGAATTTATTTATTATTATTAACTTTTAACTTTTAAATAAAAACTTGGAAAACAGTATTAAATATATTAAATGTACCTTTATTATCATTAAGTACAAAATATCTTAAAACTTTGAAAATTTTGTATATAATAATAAAATTCATTATTATTATTATTATATTAACTTTAAATTTTATATTTATAAGAATTTAGAAGACATTATTAAATATAAAAGTTTACTATTATTATTAAAATTATATATAAATTTCATAAGTAAACTTTAAAAACTGTATGAAATATACAAAATTCATTATTATTATTAAAAAACTTATAGATTTCATATAAAAACTTTAAAAACAGCGATAAATATAATAAGTTTATTACTTATTATTATTATTTTACTTCGTTATAGGAGTAATAAAAAAATAGCAGTAAACTTTTAAGATATTCATATAAAGAATACTTTATTATTTTACTATTATTACTACAAAAACTTATTATTTTGTTTTTTGTAATACATTTACAAATATAGTAAAAAACTCGCATAATATAAAAATATACAACTCGTTAATTATTATTAGGATTTAAACTCTTACTATTAATTAGAGAAAACTTTATATTTATAATAAATAATTTTATTTATTATAGAAACTTTTACTATGATTTACTAAAACTTTCAATAATATAATAAAAACATTTATAGTTAAAAATGTAAAGAATTCATTATTTCTGATAATTTTTTAAAAACTTTTACTATTATTTATATAAACCTTTTATTTTAAAAGTAAAAAAAACTTTAAAATAATAAAAATAAATTCTTTTACTAGTATTTATTATACAAACTTTTACTATTTTTTATATAACATATTCCTACTAATAGTAAAGAAAACTTTTATATATACATATAAAGAAATTTATTAATTATTATATTATTAATTTTACTTTTATATTATTAAAAGTATAACATGTTTATTTTTAAACCTTTTTTTTTTAATAAAAATAAAACTCATTTTTTATTTATTATTTTTGAACTTTTTCTAAAGTTTTATAAAAACTTAAAATAAACGGTGTATAACTTTTTATTGATAAATTTTAGCAACACTTATTACTATTATTATTATTTTTTAAAATAAACGTAAAAACTTTTAAATAGTAATGTTATTGTTATTCGTATATTCTTATTTATATTTAATATTATTAAAAAATCTAAATTTTTTAAATAATATATATATATAAATTAATTATTACCATCAATATACAACTTTTTAAATTTTTTTTTTAAAGAAAATAAACTATTCTTTAAAACTTTATGTAATAAAAATCGTTCCTTTCTATTTTTATTAAAACTTTTATTTTTATTCAATTATTTTAAAAAGAAATTCTAACTTTATAATATTTCATAAATACAATAAAAGATTACCTTTAAAAATATAATATAATAAAAAATTTATTTATAATTTTAATATTATTTACTATTATTATATGTATAAAAAAAATAACCTTTTTGTTTTTATATTTGTTTAAAAAAATAAATATAAAATATTAAAAAAAAATTATTTTATAGTAAATAATAATACACAAAAATATATAAATAATAATTAATAAAGTTTTTTTATTTTAATTTATTATTATTATTTATTTCTTTATGATTATTGTAATAAAGACCTTTTATTTCTTTTTTAAACACATTTACAGAATATAAAATTTTTATTATACTTGTTATATATAATATATATGACTTATTTCTATTATTATTTATTATTTACTTATTACTATGTAATACTGATTTCTGTTATTATTATTTATTGTTTATTCTTTACATATTATTTAATATATATTACTATTCTTATTTATTATTTATTTTTTACTTGTTACTATTATTTCATACTTATTAATTTCTATTATTATTATTTATTAATATTTTCCTTATAATTATTAATTACTGTAATTATTTATTTTTTACTTATTATTAATTTTTATTTTTTATATATTACTATTATATATTTTTAATATAATACTGACTCTTACCTATATTTCACTGTTATTATTTATTTTTTGTTATAACTTACAATTATTATTATTTTATTCTTATTCACTTAATATTAATGTGTTTATATTAATATTACATATAATGACTTATGACTTATTATATTTTTTATAATTGTTATAATTTATTATTTTTTACTTATTATTATTATTTATATTTAATTCTGCCTTTATAATATATTATTTTTACTAATTACTATTTTCTATTATTATACCTATATACTATATCTTTTCATTTTTTATTTATAATTACTATATATTTCTTATTATTACTTTTATTTACCATTATTTTCTAATTTTTTTTACTATTATTATATATATATTATTATTTATTATTTATCATTACCATTATTTTCATTTATTATTATAATTATGTATTATATTTACTTATAATTATTAACGGGCTTATATATTATTATTTAAATTTTTATCAATTTTTACTTATATTATTATTTATTATTTGTATATATTGTTTTTTACTTATAGTTGCTTATCATTTAACTAATCTTTACTTAGAGTTATTATTTATTATTTTGGTGGATTTTAACTTATTATTTATTTTTCTTATATATTATTCTTTACTTATTATTATTAACCCGAAACGAGCCAAATAATAAACAACAATGTCATTGAAGTTTGTGCAGTTTTCAAAAGGATATTGCAGTAGTCCAACTCTTGTTGCTTTAGAACTTTTTTAGAAGTAATATTTTGCAAGGAAAGTACGAATGTTGAAAAAAAGGCCGCAAACATTCCTGAAAAGGTTATAAAAATTGCTATAATTATTATGAATCCAAAAAGTTTGAGTTTATTATCATTATTTTAATATAAAGAGTTATATAATAATTTTTTTATAGAAGTTTAGTATTTTTTGTAAATGTTTTTTAAATAATAATAATAAACAATTAGTAATAAATAAAAAAAATAAAATTTTAAATAATAAGAAATTCAAGAGATAAACTAATTTGATTTTTTAATTGGGCCAAGTTTAACACCAATCATATTCAGGAATATAGAGAATTAGTCAATACAATACTTTACACAACGTGGACGGATAAATGGAAGTAATTTTTTTTACCTACCAATTTATTAAATTACTTATTTATTATTATTCCTGTTATTACTAATATTTATCTAAACGTAATAAAAAAAATATTAAACCGGCTGCCAAGAAAAATGTTAGATATAAAAAATAAATGTAAACTAGAAGGTTATATATATATATAATATTGTTTCAAATAAAACTTTTGTATAAAATATTAAATAATATAGTAAAAGCTAAAAGTTAAAAGTTTTTTTATATCTTATTTTATTTAGTAAAAAAACTTTTATGAAAAGCCATATATAAATAAAGTTTTAATAAAAACAAACTACTTTTTTCATGTCCACAAATATAAAAAAATAAGAATTTATCAATACTTTAAGTGATAATTAAATATAGTTAGTTAATATTTAAAAAAAATTTATTTTTTTTATAAAATAAAAATATATAAAAAAATTAAAAATTGTGTGCAAAATAGTATAAAGTGAATATAAGTATTAAAAATAAAGGGTTATATATATTATTATAAATATAAAGTAATAATAAAAATATAAAAAGTTTTATTTTTTAAAAAAATCTTCACAAAAAATAATAAAAAACAATATAGAAGCCAAAAAGTTTTTTTTTAATAAGTAAAATTATATATAAAGAATTTACTTTTATTTATATTAAATTTATTAAAGTTTTGTTATATAAGGAAAAAAAGAAACTTTTATACTTTTTTTATAAAAAATAAAAATTTTCTTTAAGTTATCTAAAAATTACAATAAAAAGTAATAATTCTAAAAAGTTTTACATTTTGTTTATTTAGTTAAATAAATAAAACTTTATTCAAAGTTTTGGTAAAAAATGAATAAAATATATATTAAAGCAAATATCTTTTTTGTATATATATTTACAGTTACAATATATTATTTATTTGCTTTAAATTTAATTTTCTTATTTATACTATAATTATTCTAAATTTATTTGAATAGTACATTAATCCTTTTTTTTTTCAGAGAAACTTTACTTAAAATATCGTAAGAACACGAAGGAAAAATAAATATAATATACCTAAAAAGTTATATTCAACTTCCGTTAGCGAGGCGAGTACGACTCCTAGTTAAGTTAATTTACTAAGCAAAAAAGAGTAGTAATAAAAGTTTGGAGATATAAAAATATATATTGTGAAAGTGGCATTATAGAAAAGTTTGTATAAAAAGTTTCAATATAAAGTAAAATAACAAAAAATATTTATATAAAAAGTTGTGAGTTTAGCTTATTGGTTATTTATAAGCATTTTTACCAGATCAAATTAATATAGAATTTTATCGGTCAAATAGTTAAATGATAAGTTTTGGAGGCAAAAAAAAATAAATAGTAAATAATTATAAATGTATAATAATAAGACAAACTAGTTTTCTAGTTAAAAAATAACACATTTTTTTTATCGGTTCATTTTACATTAAGTGTTTTTTTCCTTAAAAAACTAATAAAATTTGAAGTATTTTACTAAAAAAAAAATAAAGTACATATATTGTAAGTAAATATTAATAATAAATAATAGAAAAAAGTTAGAAAAAAATAAGTGAAGGCAAAAAGTATTATAGATAAATTATGGTAGCGTTTACGGTGGGCTTAAAACTAAATTAATATTAATATTGTCGAGCTTTCTATTGGTCTTAGCCCATGCATTTTTATATTTTTCATATAAACTTTTAAACAAGGGAAGGGTCAGTTTATTATTGGTAACTTTAATTGATTTTTATTGGCCAAAAACTAAAAGCAAAGTTTATTGTAATATTAATGTTTACAAAGGTTTATAAATAGTTACATTTATCCACTAGTTTATTGGTCGAATTACATGAAAATTTAATATTTCAGAAATAATTATTGTAGCGTGTAATTAGATTTTTAAGTCGAGAGGTAAATAATTTACAAGTTTTGAATTATACAAACATTACAACTTATATCTAACTTGAAAGTAAATTATATTTAAATAATTTAACCTAAAAAAATTAATTTTAAATAATTTGAAAGTTAATATAATATAAAAAAACTTTATTTCAACTAATTTTAAAAATTGATAAAATTTAGAAGTGTGAAAAATAGGTTAAGAATTAAAATTTTTTAATAAATTTAAATATATTAAGCTGGAGTATTTAATTATGATTAATAAAAATTATACTAAAAATATAATTAATAAGAAAAAAATTGCACCAACAGTTTAAAATCTCTTTTTAAACTCATAATTCCAAAAGCCGTTAAAAAATTACTTAAGTTTCATTAAATATCAGTAAAAGTAAAGAAATTAAAAAGAAAGGAAACGTATAAATAATAATAAGAAAATTATAATAAGGAATATTTTTCTAAAATTATAATTTAATTAACAGATTGTATAATTATTTTATCACCAATATTTGAAAGAATTTTTATTACTCTTTAATTTATAATGTCGTCAAAAATACTTAGTAAAGTGTTTTCAACCGTCAATATTTGTAAAGTTTAAAAAAAAATTGGAAAAAAAGAAAAATATAAGTGATAAAAAAAATGTTAATTGAAATTTTTTTTAATCAATTCACGAATTGTAAAAATAAATTTTAAATTAATAAAATATTTTTTTATAGTAAATTTGAAATTTATTTTAATTTTTTATACCAGCTACAATAGGGCAGAGCGAAAATAACAAAGGTAGTGCGGGTTTCTCCTTTAATATAATATAAACTAGTAAAACCGTGCAAACTGGCTGCAACGCCTAAAAAAATTTTAAAATTCCCTTAAAAATTTTTTTAAAACAAAAAATCTCAAAATTTTTAATTTAATTGTTTAGTAGAGTAAATAAATCACTTAAATTTTCTTTTCTATATAAAATATTTATATCTATATAGATTTTTAGAATTGCTACTGCTAGATTATAAATTTTCTTGCTCTTAAATTAACCTTAACGGTGTGGGCGTAAGATACAGAGACTTTTGATAAACTGGTGGTGCTGGAAACGGTAGCGGTTATTCTTATTATGATGGGAAAAGTTTAAGAAGAACATAATTTCTACTTCGAATTTTTAAAATTAACTTTAAAATGGCTAACGGAAAGATGTTTTTCCAAAAAAATCGCCTTGTTAGGCATTGCCGTTGAATTCTAATATTAGCAAAGTACAAATTTTTTATTTATTTATGTTGTTTCTAATATAATATTTATTAAATAATTAAATTAACTATTTTTATTTTGTGTGTTTTTATAGTTAATATTTATATATTAATGGAAATTTAGGAAAAATTTATACCCGATAAACTTCATATAAAGAGGCAAATAAACAACTACAGAAGCTACTTGAACCAGTGAAACAGTTATTGGAAAAGGAAGATCAATTAATATTGACTTGCCTAGAAAAAAAAGTTATAAAGTTGGTGTTTTCCATATAAATCCTTCAAAAAAAAATTAAAAACTTACTTAAGTTGTTGCTTAAAGCGCTAAAGATATACCAAGTGCAACATAACAACGACACACAGATTAGCCTTCTTGTTTCAACAGAAAAAATGTTATTTTTATAACTACTGTCTGAGAAGCTATTTAAGTTAGAATTTTTTATATATTCTTTAAGCAAGTTAAAAAGTAGAAAAAACATATCCTCTAAAAATTAACAATAGCATTATTGTTTTTTTAAAGGATTGGTGTTCTTCTGTTAACTTAATACTTTTGTTGATATGTAAGGGTTATAAATAAAGCTGATAAAAAAAATGCAAGCAAGAGATAAACTTTCGTACTAAACGCATTAATGTTTATCAGGAAACCTACCAAAAAATTAGATTTTTATTTTTAAAAATGGTAACGCCCTTTAGCTAAATATGGCATTTGTTACATGTAACCTCTCTAAACAAAGTAAGCTATAATACTCTTTAGTTTTACTTTAATTTTTTAAATTACGCAATCAGTATAACTAAATTACAATTATTATTATTTTTTTTAGAAAGTTACCTCTTCTTTTCATTATTTTGTGGTACTTTAGATTATTTTTTTTAATAGCGGTTTTAATAATTACGCGTTTATGCTTAGAAGAACGCCCTTCCCCTCCCATGAAATTAAGTATTAACCCAACAAAAAAGAACTCAATACGAAGAGATGATTTTTTTCATTGATATAATTTTAACACATAATTCTTCGCTGTAGTGTATTTTAGCGATTCAATACTTATAGTCAACAAGTTTATACCTATTTCTTGAAATAAAATTAATGTTATTGAAATTTATTACAACTTTATAAAGGGGGAAAGAAACCTAAAAATTTTGTTTTAACAAACAATATAAAACAACAAAATAATCAAAACTTTAAACTAGTTAAAATGTGTATAACAAAATAAATATTTCATTTAGACATCGAAAAACTAATTTAATATAAAATAGAGGAAAACCAAGTTATATTATATAATAAGCTCAATATTAAAGAGATATAAGCTATTCAAGATAAAATTATTTTGCTATTTACAATGGTGGTTGATATTTCTTGTGAAAAAATGTAAATATTAAGTTTGTATAAAAAAAATGATACTGTTTTCTTTATCCAGTCTTCTATCAACGTTATTAATTCAATATTATCCCTAGCAATATTAATTCTGAATAACATAAACAGTAAATTGATTTATTAAACTACTTGAGATGGGCTTTTCAAATTTGGTTTTTTTCTTAGTTCATTATAAAAGGTATTTCCTCCTATTAATATGTTGATATTAAACATTTATTCAGTGATATCTTAAAATTAGATTCTACGCGGCCGTTATCTCAGGAATAATTAAATAAAATAGTAAAATAAAAAAAAAGAAGAATAAAAAAAATTCAAAAAAATACATCTTTTTATATTTCTTTCTTGATATTTATTGTGCTTTATGTTACACGTTTTCATTTTGTTATAAATCTAAATTTTTTATCAGGTCAAATTATGATCAATACTATATTTCAGTTCAAGTGCAACCTAATCCTAAATAAAATTGCTTGTGTGGCATAATAAACCTTTTTTTAAAAAAATTATAATCATTTATTTTTGTAGGTCAGCACAATTATTTTTGTTGTTTTTCTTGGAGCTGGTAAAAGTTTTATTTATAAAAATTTCACGCTATACATACTGAAATCATAAACCTATAATATTTTTTGCTGTAAATTCAGCAAAATAAATGTTTGTTGTCATCCCGGTACCTAATAAAAGTTTGTCTTTTAAACTTTCATGCTGTACTTATTGAAAAAATTTTCTTAATATTTTTTTTAAAAAAACAGCACTTTAAAAGTTTGTTGTTTTTCCGGTAGATAGAAAAGTTTTTTTACTTAAAGTTTTACGCTTACAACAAGTTTTTAAGGACGCTCTCTAATTTTAGATAAAAATGTTAAATGGTCTAAAATCAGCTTCGCCAGTTAACTTTGGAGAATTTTTTTTCTGGGTTATAGTTAAATTAATTTCAGCAACAAAAACTTCGTAAAGACACTGCTTCGTACTATATTGACATTCAACAAACTTATAAAAATCTAATACTTTTAAAATCAGGGCGACCTGGATCAATAGTGTTCACGCTAATCTAAAAACTTAATTAGGTATGACCTTATTTTTTCGGTGGATTTTAATTTAATACATACAATAGTCAAGTATACTTCAATAGTTGGCTTCACAACTTCAAATTACTTAAAAGAACACAATCGCCCTTTTTCTGGTAAAGATTTTTATATATTAAATTTTTTTTTTTAATTCTTTCGCAATAAAAAGTAACAAATAAAAGAATTGATAACACTCAAGCACTCTTTCAAACTTGAAAGACTTTATGTTTAATTAATAATAAAAAAATTAAATAAAATTCAATATTAATTTGTTTCAAAAATTTTAGTAAAAAATTTATTATATACCATAATTTTAGTACCATAACTGAAAAAAAGTTTGTACTAAGCAGCTGCAAATAAAAACTTTTTTGTATTTGTTGATTTCACATGCTGTAAGTCTTCGAAAACTTATTATTATAGTCAGTGAAGTAATTTAATTTATATAATATAAAGTATATTATAGGCAATTAAGTTATACATTATAGGAGAGTCGGGGCTCTAGGAGGCACTGTAAATTTATTTATTATAACACAACTGCACGTGCGCGAGCCAAACTTAGTCACATGTGCGCTGCCCTTAACTATTACCTTCTTATTCTAAACTCAGAGAAAATTAAAATAATAAAAGTGTGTGCGCACAACAATAAGATAAATCAAGAAACTCAAAATCTATAAACTTTAAAAGTCCTATAAAATTGATAAAGTTTTTATTATAATTTATTTATTTTAAAAAAAATTGAACAGTCACTAAAAAATTTTATAAATTTTATAATTTTTTGTAATTAATCAAAAATGTTCCTGCGCTTGAATTTATTTTGTTTGAAATTTGCAATATTTTTTTCTTGAGGTTTATTATTTAATAACGTTTGATCCCTTCGGCTTTGGCTAACATTTCGGTTACGATGTTCAGGAAATGTTGGAAGTAACCCGCTATTCAAAAAAATTGATAAAAAAATAAAAAGTTTGTAGGAAAAAAGATTTATAAAAGTCTGCAAATTATAAAAATTTCACAGCAATAATTAATAATTAATAAATTAAAAGAAATTATTAATTCTATTATATAGAAATTAAATCTCCAGCTATATAAATTTACTAAAAAAATTTTTAAAAACTAAAGTAGGAAGTAATAATAAAAAAAACTTAAGCAACTAATTAAAAAATTATGCAGCTAATAAATTTGCAGCAAAAATTTTAAATCAATTATTATAATTTTAAATATAAAAAAAGATCACAAACTATAAAACAAAAAAATCAAAAAATAATATAATTTATTAAAAAAAATTATATAAATCGTAAGAAAATTGAAAATATTAATCAGAATATTGTTAATTATATTAAACCATATCAAAAATTTTCGAAATAATTATTTTTTTAAAAATTAACCGCTCAGTGGGCAAGGGAAGTTCGCGAAAATATTTATGGTTCAGTGCTGCACGTGCCGTTAATCTTCTTTTTGGATCGTATGTTAAAAGTTTGCTGATCAAATCCGATCCTTAAAAAAAAAATTTAATTATTAATATAGTTAATCAAATAAATTTTATAACTATAAAAATTTATTAAATTAAAAAAAAAAAGAAAAATTTTCTTATAAAAAATTTTTTTTGGATGTAAAAATTTTTTAAAATTTAACGTTGATAAATTATAAAGAAATTTTCTAGTTAATAAAATATAATAAATTAAAAAAGGAAATTTTGCTTATAAGAAAAATATGAAAAGTGCATATAAGTTTATAAAAAAAATATAACATTGATAAAATATAGATAAATTTTATAATTAATAAAACTAAAAGTTTTATAGCTATGAAAAATTAATAAATTACAAATAAGAAATCCCTCATAAAGAAATGTTTATAATTTTACAATAAATTTAACGTTAATGAATTTTAAATAACTTTTATTATATATAAAATAATAAATTTTATAACTATAAAAATTTTTTAAAGTAAAAAAATGAAAAATTTGCTTATAAATAAATATTTATTTGTATATAATTTTATTAAAATATTTAACATTGATAAATTATAGAAAATCATTTTTTTATAATAGATAGTATTTAAAAGTTTTAAGTATAAAAACTATTAAATTAAAAAAAGTGAATTTGCTAATAAGAAATTACGTATATAATCTTATAATAAATTTCAAGTCTATGAATTAACTATAAATTTTGATATATAAAATAAAAAATTTTATAACTATAATAATTTATTAATTATAAAAAGATAAATTTTTTGAATTATAAATGTAAATAATTTTATAAAAAAATTCAAAGTTCATAAAATATAAATAACTATAAAAAATTACTAAAATTAAAAAAATTGAAAAATTTGCTTATAAAAAAATTTGTATACAAAAAAATTTATATTAAATTTAACATTGACAAATCATGAATAACTTTTATAATTAGCGATTTTATAATTATAAGATTTATTAAATTGAAAAAAAGAAAAATTTGCTTATTAATTTTTTTTTTAGGTGTATATAACTAATAATGCAACATTAATATATTATAATTTTATAATAAATTTTATAATTTGGAAATTTTATTAAATTATAAAAGAAGAAAAATTACTAATAAATAATTTTAATTTTATGAAAATAATTAAAGATTATAAATTCAATTTTAATTAAAGTTTCTAACAATTTTTTCAAAACTAGTGAATTTAAAATTTCTAAATTATATCTATTAGCGTTAAATAAATCAAATCAACTTGTGAAAACTTATATATTAGGCTTTTAAAATAACTATAATAATTTCTATTAAAATTTATAATAAAATTAAAAACAATATTTTTTTTTTGCAGTTTCTTTTTAAATTGGTATATTTAAAAAAATGCATCATCAAAGCAGCTTCATGTGCTTGATTCTGTCGTTATTCGCTTCGAAAAAATAATACTTTTTAACAAAGTTTATCATGCAAAAATTACTATTTTGCTACTTAAAAAGTATCAAACTATTATATAATTATATAAAATTAATAAAATTTATTTTAAGTAATAAAATTAAAAAAAATTTTAATCTGGGTTTGAACAGCAAATATTATTTGTCCTAAAACAATAAAAATAATCTTAAAAATTTAAATATATAATTTACTTTAAAAAAAAGTAATTATAAAATTTGTTTTATTATGAAGTTTACAAGTTAGGGAAATAATTCCAAGCAAAGTTTTGCATAAGTCATATTTATAAAATATAAGTTCTTCTCTATTTTGATTTTTATAAATTAAATTAAATTGAAAATATTCCAAAAATCTGAAATTTTATTTTACTGATTTTTTTTTTTATAAAGTAAATAAAAAATCAAAATTATTTTTCTAAAAAAGTGAAACTAAATAGAAATTCAATAAACTAAAAAATCTGCAGTTAAAATAATTAATAACGTTAATAATTAAAAAAAAATATTTTTGAAAGTTCAATTAAAATTTAAAAGAAAAAATTATCGCAAATTTATAATTAAAAAAAATTTATAAGAATATTTTATTGAACTGTTTAGAATATAAATTATTAAATCCATAAAATTTCTGTTATAAAAAGTTATTAAAAAAATAATCTAAAACTCTAATTTTTCTTAAACAAAATAATTACAAATGATTTTAGTAACACAGAGAAAATAGGAATTTTTAGCTGAGAGACGAAATCCAATGAAACCATCGTAACTTAAATTAAGGCTATCTTTTATCTAACTAATGCACCTTTAGCTTAGTTTTACTAATGCAGTCCACTATTTATCTAAGTAATAACAAAACCTTTAGACCATTATTACGGTACTTTCCTGATTGTAGCTCTGGGCTGTGTGCTCAGCGTTACTTAGGAAAGCTATAGGTGCGTAAATCGCGGTTAGAAAGTTCTGCCTTTAAAATTGGCCTTCATTTTAAACTTGAGCGGATAACTAGCCTACTGGCAATAACTAAAAATATTAAAAATTATATGATTTAGTGCTCTTTACTATATACATAAAGTTTGATGAGCGTAGCTGAGTTATGTTGGATATTTCTGCCATCCGAGATTAGTTGCGGACGAAAGCCATGCAGAAAAAACGACATAACAAGTGATGTTCTAGCAACACTCTTACTCTGTTCCGGAGCTGCAGGTATAATCGCATATCGTGGCTTTCAACTTCGCTACTCGCTCGAACGAATAGTAGTGTACTATACAACTTAGCTATAATCCTCAAGTTTTCAACCAAGATTTTTTTAGAGATCTCGCTAACTTGGTTTAGACTACTTTTGTTACCCCAAGCAATAATTTTGAAAGTCACATCCGTAGTATATTACTGTACTAACAGCTTACTACAGTAATTGGTTGTACTAAAAATGAAACAAAGTAATATCTTGATTAATAAATACACGAAATTTAGTTAAAGTTTCTTCAACATTAAAAAATAATAAAATTTATATATAAAATTCACTTTTAAATTAAAACTTTTTTAAAAGTTCGATGAAGAATAAAATTAAAAAAATATCTTTTTAATAATAAACAAAAATTAAAGTGTTATACTTTTTCAAAGTTTGCTGATAAAATTTAATTATAATTTAATAAATAAACTAAAAAAGTTATAAAAATTAAATTTTCTTTATAAATTACCAAAAAAATTAAAAATTAACAAATTTTAGTAAAAAATAAATTTTTTTAAAACATTTTTAACTTTGTATTATAATAAAGGAAGAAAAATAATATAAATACAAAAATAGATTTAATAAAAAAAAATTTTGTTACTAAAACTTATAATAAAAATTCTAAACTTTTTAAAATCAGAATTAATAAGCAAAACCAATATAAATAATACAAATGATTTAAAGAAATGAGTAATTCGATACTTATTAGATTTTTGCTATTGAAATTTAATAATAATTTAATAAATAAAGTGTAAAAGTATTATAAATTAATTTTCTTTATAAATTACAAAAATATATAATAAATTTTAGTAAATAAATGAATAGAAAAAAAATAATTTATAATTAATAAAACAAAAATAAATTTAAATAAAATAAAAATTGTTGCTACTAAAACTTTATAAAGCAAAACCAAAAAAATAATACAAGCGATATTTAAAAATTAAAAAACCGTTTTAAGACAATTTTTTTTTAAATAAAAATATTACAAGTAAAAAATGATAAAAAACTTTTAAAACAATTATTAAAAAAAATTTAATAAGTTAATTACAAAATACATTAAAGCAATTCAATTCTATGATATTAACAATATATTTTATATTGATGAAATCAGTTTAATATATAATAAATATAATAACTTACTGTAGTTAAATACTGAAAACTTTTTATATTTATATTTAAATATAAATTATTTTTTACTTTAAAAAAATTTAAAACTTTTATAAATAAAATAAAATATAAATATAGTTAAAGTCAATAATAAGATTTTAAATTAAAGACTAAAAATTAAAAAGTTACTCTAATTATTAAAAAAAATCTAGAAAAAAAAACTTTTAGTAAAGTTTTAAACTTTTAACGCAAAAAAATAAAATTATATTTATAAAAAAAATTTTAAATAAAATTTTAAAAAATATATATAAAACATAAAATTAATTAGTTTTATCGATACAAGCAAATTATAAAAAATTATAACAATTTAATATAAATTATTTATTTTATATGAAATTTAAACAGTGAAATACAAAACGGCTACAAGTAAAGCAAAACTTTTTATTGTAAAAAAAATAAAAATTATAAATACAACTTATAAATTAAAAACTTTTTATAAATAAGTCGAAATAAATAATTATATAAAAAAAAATTTAAAACTTAAAATTTTAAAAGAAATTTTATTTAATTTTATAATAATTAGTAAATTTAGTGTGGAAAAAAAAATTACTGTAAACCCTTAAAATATAAGGAAAAATTAACTATTTGAAACCTGAAAGTAAATTTATTATTTTAAAACTCAAAATTAAATAAAATACAAATTACAAATGTTATGTTAAAAGTAAATTTAAAATATAAATTGCTAGAAAGCAAAAGTATTATCAATACTTTTTATTCAATCTGATTTAAAAAAAATATTAATTTTTTTTATGTACAATTAACTTCTTTTTTAAAAAAAAAAAAAAACAAAACTTTTATTTTGAATTTTTGTTTTATAAATTATAATTATTTTTATTACTTTTTTGTAAACTCAATTTTTTTGTAGTCCACCAATAATAAACACGCTCTCATTGGAAATTCGTAACTCCTCTCTTTAGAAAGAGCCAATTGGATAGTCGTACAGCAAATCATTGCAATTAAATCCCGTATAAGCCGTTAAACTTAACAGCTTGGCGAAAATTAGAAACTTTTCATGCCAAATTGTAAATTAAATTGAACAAAAAAATGTAATTCTTTGGTACAAATTATATAACACAAAACAAACCCAAACTTTTTGCTGCCAAAAAGTAAAACTTTTGATTTATATGTGAATATGGCTGATCGGGCCACTCAATTTTTTCAACCAATGGAAGAGTAGGAAATTCAGGCCTAGTATTTATAATTAGCTTCATTAAAAAATTTATTATTGAAAATATGCTTCTAATGATTCATTATTTTTAACGAAATATAAACTGCCGATCTAATTTTTAGTGGCTGTTTTTTTTATCTTTTTTATTTTTCAACCAATCAAAAATTACAATCTATCAAAACATATAAGTTTTCTATTTGATTATTTATTAGTACATATTATAAAATAAACGAATTTAAGTAACTTTTCTTTATAAAAATTTCTTTATTTCTACTTTATTATAAAAAAATTATTTTACTTTACTTTAAAGTAAAAATATATTGAAAAAAAAAATTAAAAAATTTATAAATTATATAATTTATTTATAAAAATTAAAACTTTAAAAAAAAATTAAATGAAATGGTATGATAATAGTATTATATGAAAAAATATTAGAAATTTATTATAAAAACATTTTTTATATACAATAGTGTATAATATAACATTTTAAATAATAATAAATAAATATTTTTTATAGCTTATAATATTCATATAAAAATAATAAAAAGATAAATTATTATTTAAAACTCTAACACAAGAAATCTATATTTATTTTATTATAGGATAGTATATATTATGTTATTATAATGCCGAGTCCACTCTTGCTATACTTTTTTATATTAGCAAGAAAATTTATAATAATAAATATGATTATAATAAATAATAATAAATATTTAACAATAAATAAATATGTTACTGATAATAATAAATGTTAATACAAAAGCATATAGATAAGTTTGTATATTAAAAAGTGCAAAGCACAGCGTGTGCGAAAGCATCGTGCGTTACTGCATGCTCATAATATATAAATATTTTTTGAAGTTTATAATATTTATATAAAAAATAATAATAAATATAGTTTACTCAAAGAAATTCTAATAAAATAAAGTTTAAAACTTTTTTCGAATATAACATAATAGTTAATAATATAAAACCATATAATAATGAATATATATTATTAAGCTTATGACAGTCATATAAAAAAATTATTATAAAAAATATTCATTTCAAACTTTTTCTTATTATAATATTACAGTAAATAAATATTATTATAAAATAATAATAAATTATAAAGCTTCTATTATTAAAATAAAGGATAAGTTTTCAAATAAATTTTTTGTAATAAAAGTAATTATAAATAATTAATAAACAATTATAAAAAATAATAGATAAAAATATAGTTTTTTAAATACTATAAAAGTATATAAAATAAAAAAATTATAAAAACAATAACTTTATTAATGAATTGATATAAAAGTTTCTTAATTATAATAAAAAATAATTATTAAAAAAATTTATTACAAAAAATCAAAATCCTTTTTTTTAATAGAAAAGTAAATAATAGTTATTATAAATATTTCTATAAAAGAAGTTGAGATTTTTATTAAAAAATATTAAATATATAACTTTTTGTAATATAATATAAAAGTAAGAAAAAATAAAAAGTTATTAGAAAAATTTAATTTAAATAATTCCTTTTATATCTTTTTATTATATGAAAGTAAATCTGTAGAATAAGAAATATTTTTTTAAAAGCTCATAATAATTATTAAGAAATATTTTTAATAAAAAATTATTTATTTTAAAAAAAATAAATATATAAATAAATAAAACTCTTTTTTAAAGCTTCTATTATTAAAATTTTAAAAAAAGTTATTAAAAAAATTTTATGATAAAAAAATAAAATCCTTTTTTTTAAATATAAAAGTAAATAATAGTAATTATTACTATTTCTTCATAATATTTATATAAGAAAAAATATCAATAAAAAATATTATATAAAAGTAAATAAAATTATTATAAAGTTTCTTTTAATGATATAAAAATGGTCAGTAACAGAAGAATAACCATATTTTTTCGGTAGGAGTGCCTAGCAACTTTACAATGAGTTCAATCTGCTTCGCTTCTGAAGTTCCTGATTTAAAAATAGAAGAAGGTTTTTATAAAAGGATTAAAACTATATTTATATAAAATTTAAAAAAATATAAATATTCTATAAATAAATAAAAAATATAAAAAAGTTAAGTTATTTTTATATAAAGGTTTGAAGCCTTTTTTATTTTTTTTATTTAAAAGAATAATTTTATGTTTAACGTAAAAATATTTATAAAATCTTTTACTGT